ATTCTATTCTATTCTATTCTATTCTATTCTATTCTATTCTATTCTATTCTATTCCCCCCCGTGTGCTTCCAGATGTGTTAGAACTTCAACTCCAAAGAATTCCCAGCCAATTAACCTTCCATGTTTAGTTCTAACACATCTGGAGAGCATTACCCAAGGTCAGGAATTCTCAATCTTGGCAGCTTTCAAATGTGTGGACTCCAGCTCCCAGAATACAGCATGCTGACTGAGGCATTCTGGGAGTTGAAGTCCGTACATCTGAAAGCTACTTGAGGTTGAGAAACACTGCCCTAGGTTAATGCTGCCCTTCAGGGGTGGGGTACAATTATTTTTTACTACCGGTTCTATGGGTGTGGCTTGCTGTGCGTGGCTTGGTGGGCATGGCAGGGGAAGGATACTGCAATATGCCCACTCCCTCCCCACCCCACTAACCTGCTTTCCAGCTCCGTTCTCCTGTGCAGGGCAACAAAAGAAGACCCAGCCAATCAGCTGGGACTCAGTGGGAGGCAGAGAATAGATGAGGGGTGGAGCCAGTCAGAGGTGGTATTTGCCAGTTCTCCAAACTACTTAAAATTTCCGCTACCGGTTCTCCAGAAGTGGTCAGAACCTACTGAATACCACCTCTGCTGCCCTTCCTTCCTTCCTTCCTTCCTTCCTTCCTTCCTTCCTTCCTTCCTTCCTTCCTTCCTTCCTTCCTTCCTCCCTCCTTCCCTCCCTCCCTCCCTCCCTCCCTCCCTTCCTCCCTCCCTCCTGTAGAACTGGTCATAAGACAAAAACTACCTGCAGCATTAGATGCCTATAGAAAACAAACTTATTTACCTGTTATCTTGACTTACTTTCAACTCCACCTCTAACTCAGGTGAAGAACTGGGTTGAACGCTTAATGAAGACTCTCCGGGATCCATCCTTGCCTCTACTGGAGCTCCAAGATATCATGACCAGTGTCTCTGGGCGGATCCCGCCCAACGTGGAAAAATCCATCAAAAAAGAAATGGCACAGTATGCAAGTAACATCACCTCTGTCCTCTGCCAGTTTCCCAGCCAGCAGGTAAGGAAAGTTTTGTGATGTGGGCTGAAACTGAGATGAAACTGACTAGGAAGAGGTTAGATGGAAGACTAATATCCTTGACTGTGAGAGATGGTGAGGAGGGCGAGGAAGGAGGGTCTAGAGGTAGGACAACGCACTGCGGCCAACTCACCATGGCCAATTCAGTGCGGGACAACTCGCCGCTGGACTGTCAAACACTAATATCAAAGAAACATTGGAAGAGAATTATTACAGAAAGGATGCAAAAAGAGGGACAGAATGAAATGTGAATGGCAAAAATTAAAATATATTTTTAATTATTTTAAATAATTGCCGTATTTTTCAGACTATGACATGCACCTAGCTTTTGGGGAGGAAAAAAAATATATCTGCCTCTGCATCCCCTCAATTTGCCGCTTTGCAACGAACAGCAAACAGCCTGTTTCAGCTTCAGCACAGCCTGATTTAGCACAAGCAGCTGATTGTCGGTTGGGTTTGCCTCCCAACGATCAGCTGTTTCAGGCTGCAGGGATTGCCATTGTCTATTGCTACCTGCGCGCACCCCGTTTTCCGCCTCCGCGCACCACATGGACTAAGTTTTGATATGAGGTGTCAGATTCTGTCTGTTGTGTGTCCATCCCACCCTCCCACTTTTTCAGTCAAGCCCAAAAACATTGAGGGGGTCAATCCCAGTTTGCTTCTCTTCTTCCTGTAGATTGCCAACATCCTGGACAGTCATGCCGCCACCTTAAACCGCAAATCGGAGCGCGAGGTTTTCTTCATGAACACTCAGAGTATTGTGCAGCTGGTTCAAAGGTGAGCGTGATCTCAGAAGTGATCTTTGGCAAAAGCTGAAAAGGGGAAGCCAAATGATAGGCTGCTTTGTGATCGAATCCAGTCTCTACCCCCCCTCCCTTAATAAGTACAGTTAAGGCCCTACAGATGGGTCTACCACAGGGGTGTCAAACTCAAGGCCCGGATCCAGGGGTGCTTAGATCTGGCTCACAGGGCCGCCCTGGGAACAGTGAAGGATCGGCCTGCAGTACTTCCGCCGGTGAAAATGGAGCTCGGGAGGGCTGCACATGGTTCTCTCAGGCCCTGTTTTCGGCCTGGATGCCCTCCTGCAACCCTCTGCCAGCGAAAACAGAGCTGGGAGGGGCAACCCCCCCTGGGCTCATTGTATGGCCCTCCCTGGGCTCCATTTTCACTGGCAAAGGGCTGCAGGAGGCTGTCCAGGCCAAAAACGGGGCCCAGGGGGCCGCATGTGGGCCCCCCAAAGCTCCATTTTCACTGGCAGAGGGCTGCCAGAGGCCATCCAGGTCAAAAATAGAGCCCAAAGTGGGTCACATATGCCCCCTCCCCCCAGAGCTCCGTTTTCACTGGCAGAGGGCTAGCAAAAAAGAAAAGGAAGGAAGGAAAGAAAGTAGGGAGGAAAGAAAGGAAGTCCTGCCTTAGCACTTGGCCACCAGCGGAGGACAAGGGTTTGGGGCTCTCCCTGGTCTAGCCTTCCTCCGGTGGAGACAATGGATCCCCCCACCAGCCTCAACCGGGGGCACCACGGGTGCCCCTGACACGAGTGATGTCAAGCTGGCCGCTCCCAACCCGGCCACGCCCACCCCAGCCACGCCCACCCTGAGCATGCCCACCTGGTCCCCCGAGGTCAAAGTCAACCCCGATGCGGCCCTCAATGAAATCGAGTTCGACAGTCCTGCACTGGACGAATCCTGCAAGGGTGTTTACAATTCAGCCATGTTGTCAAAAGACTTGTCAAAGCTTCCGTATTTTCATCCGAGGGCTCTGTTACAGATACCGAAGTGGCATCCGAGGTCACATGAAGGCAGTCGTGATGGATTTGCTTCGGCAGTACCTAAGGGTGGAAACTCAGTTCCAACACGGTGGGTCATCTCCCTTCAGGATTTGGATTTTCGAACAAGGGTGGTTGGGAGGAGGGGATATGACCACAGGGAAGAAGAAGAAAAAGCTGTAATGATTCCGGCCGCCAGATGGCAGCCTTGTACTGAGATATCAACCCAAAAAGGCTTTGCCAACCAAAACCAGGCAGGCTGGTTAACCGTAGTCTAGTGGGACAGCTTTTAGAGCTGATTTCCCATTACCCTTGACCCAGGGTAACAGCGGTTAGAATGGTCAGTCCTTCCCTCTCCCTATTAGCACTTAAAGAGCACTGCAAATGCTTTGCTTGAATCCACCTCTGCCTCCCCATCTACCCTGTTTCGGTTAATTCTTTGATACTGTCCACACGAACCATGAATACTAATTCCTCCCTTCCTCCCTTTCTCTGTTTCCATCATTCATCATTTTTCCTTCCCTCCTTCCTCCCTCCCTCCATCTCCATCATTGTTTCCTTCCTCACTCCCTCCCATTCCTTTTCCTTCTTTCCTCCCTTCCTCCCTCCTTTCCATCATTCAGCTTTTCCTTTCCTTTCCTTTCCTTTCCTTTCCTTTCCTTTCCTTTCCTTTCCTTTCCTTTCCTTTCCTTTCCTTTCCTTTCCTTTCCTTTCTTCCTTCCTTCCTTCCTTCCTTCCTTCCTTCCTTCCTTCCTTCCTT